TGTATTCAGATGCCAGAACTTAGATATCCAAGCGGAAGCCGGCATAGGGATGTGGAGGTGGGAAGGAGTGGAGACTGAGGAGACCTTTCCTGATTCACTCAGATAATGCCTCCCACACTATGTTCTCTCACTTGCCCTTGTTGTTGTTGTTAAATGCTGTCGAGTGAATTCCGACCCATAGGGTTTCCGAGGAGCAGCTAGTGGACTTGAACCGCAGACCTTGCAGTTCCAATGGCTTTGCAGTCTAGCACATTAACCCAAAGCACCATATCAGCATTTCTGCCCTTAGGGCTGTCCATTGCTGACTGCTCCACGCGCATGTACATTTCCCAAGAGCAGGGACTCTCTTATCTTTGTTCACTGCTGATTCCAGGGTCTAAAACAATACCTGGCCCCTGATTTAAAAAAAAAAAAAAGAACAAAACCCAACCCCATTGACGTCAACTCGGAGTCATGCCAACTCCATGTGTACAAAGTAGAAGTGCGCCGTAGGATATTCTTGGTTGTCATGTCATTGGAAGAAACCCTGGTTAAGCACTCAGCTGCTAACCAAAAGGTTGGCAATTCAACCTAGCAACTCTATTGTGATCTATCCCATAAAGAATCATCCAAGGAAACCCTATAGGACAGTTCTACTTTGTCACATGGGATTGTTCTGAGTCAAAATAAACTCGGTGGCACTTAACAACAACCATCTTTATAGAAGTGAATCACCAGGCCTGTTTTCCTCTGTTCCACTAGATGAGTTCCAGTGTAAACCACCCAGTGGGGGCTCAGCAAACATTTGCTGGTGACTGTGTTCTGGGGATAGCAGGAGACACTGCAGACAGGGCCCTGAGCTCACTGGTTTGTAGCCTTGTGGGGAATCAGCTAATTGAAGACGTGATTATACTGATGTCTGCTTGTCCAATGTGCAAAGTCAGCAGTTCAAACTCACCAACCGCTCCTGGAAACCCTATACAGGGTCACTGTGAGAGGAACTGACTCACGGGCATTTCACAACAACAGCTATACTATCAATGAGGCTTGGTGGCACCGTGGCTAAAACACTTGGCTGCGAACTAAGAGATTGATGGTTTGAAGCTCCATGGGAGAAAGATGTGGTAACAGAACCCCTTGAAGATTGAAAACCCTCGGGGACAGTTCTACTCTGTCCTGTACGTTCTTTGTGACTTGGAAACTCGTTGACAAAGGGTTTGGGTTTGGGCTAGGCATTGATGCTTTACTTGAGGCTTTCCTCCTTGCAATAGAAAAATAACAGCTAGATCAACAGATAGACAGGTAGGTAGGTAGGTAGGTAGAAGGACAGACAGGTAGTTCAATGATCAGTAGATAATAATGGCTGGCAGCGTAGTGGTTACGAATCGGGCTGCGAGCCGCAAGGTCAGCAGTTCGAAACTACCAGCTGTTCCACGGGAGAAAGATGAGGCTTTTTGTTCCTGTAAAGATTTACAGCTGTGATTCAGAACCAACTCCACGGCACATAACCACCACCAGATAGGTGGGTATAGTATGATAGATGAGAGCGAGAAATAGGTAGGCAGGGAGGGAGGGAGATGATCAGAAAAAAGGAAAGACAGAGAATGTGGCCGCCATGGCCTCTGAGCCTTTGAGACTGTGTTCTGAGTCAGGCAATGAGCTTACAGATAAGATTTCTATCAAGATTCCTGTTCATTTTCCTTAGCCCATCCCATTATGTTTCCCAAGGTGTTGAGAGGAATAAGGACCATTCCAAGTTAGCAAACAAGCCCGAAGACTTACAGAAACTCTGGGATCCGTTTCTATTCTCAGCCACGGCACCTTGGGCAATGTCTTAGTGACCTAGTGTTGCTGCACCAGGTGAGGGACTTTAAAGCACTGCCATTGCTGCTGCGTGTCGTGGAGTCGGTTCCGACTCATAGTGACCCTGTACAGGATTTCCGAGGCTGTAAATTTTTACAGGAGCAGAGAGCCTCATCTTTCTCCTGTGGAGCAGCTGGTAGTTTTGAACTGCTGACCTTGCGGTTTGCAACCTGATTCGTAACCACTATGCTACCACAGCGGGAAATCTAAAGTCAGGGTGTAGCTCTGGGGAAAAGTCCTTCCTTGTCCGTTTCAACTTCTAGAGGCTGGCAGTCCTCTGAGGTCCTAGATTTGTAGATGCATCCATCCGCCAAGCATGTCTGTCTTTAGATGGCCTCTTTCTCTCCATGTGTCTCTGCTTTTCTTAGAAGACACCACTCAGAGTGACTGGGTTTAGAACCCACTCTACTCTGCTATGAGCTCATTAACATAACACAAAATTTCCCTCATTTCCAAATAGGACTATATTTAGAAATACAGGGGTTAGGACTTGCATAGTTCTCTTTTGAGGGATGCAATTCAAGCCAGTCCATACAGTCAATAACCAAATCTTCCAAAGCCACATTTGTAAGATGGGGTTAAGAGACCCATCTGGCACAGCTTTGAGGGCATATATGTGGCACCCCAAACAGAGTCTGACACACACGTACTAGTAGTTTCTCCAGATAGCAGAAGAATGCACGTGATGGTAGGTAACTAACAGAAAGAATCATTTTCTTCACATGCTATGAGGTGGCAGGCAGCTTGGAAGTTCTAGACATGCACTGCATTATTGAACTTTCAGATCAACCCTACCACCAGCATTGCTTTATAAACCAGAAAAGCAATAATGTTCAGAGAAAAATAACAGCTAGAAAATGGTGAAGCCTGCAATCAAACCCTTGTTTGCTGACCTCTGGAATCCATGTTCTTTTTATTATTATTGTGTGTGTGTGAATTGAGTGAAGGTTTGCAAAGCAGATCATCAGTTTTACATTCAACAAGTCATATACTTCATTTCATTACAATGATTACAAACCCCACCAGTTAACAATATTTACCTC